AGAGAGAGAGAGAGAGAGAGAGAATGAGAGAGAGAGAGAGTGAAACAGAGACAGAGACAGGCACAAACACAGACACAGACACGCACACTCACACACACGCGCGCACACAGAAAGAGAAAGGTAAACAGATACACACACACACACACACACAAATGTGCCCATACAGATAGAGAGAGAGAGACAGAGAAACCGACACAGAAAGAGAGAGAGAGACAGAGAAACCGACACAGAAAGAGAGAGAGAGACAGAGAAACCGACACAGAAAGAGAGAGAGAGAGCGAGACAGAGAGACCGTCACAGAAAGAGAGAGAGAGAATGGGACAGACACATACACAGACCCAGAAAGAGAGAGAGAGAAAGGGACAGAGACACAAACAAAGAGAAAAAAAAAACAAGTAAATAAGAAAAGATCAGAAGATGAAATAGAAAAGAAAAAGAGAGAGAAAAAAAAGAAGGAATTATGGAGACGAAGGGCCTCCATCTACATCCAGCGCCCAGAACAGGAGCGAAGGTAATATCCGGTCTACGCCCCAAAATCTCGGTCAATTTTCCTTATTCAACCCTTTTTTACCCCCCTTAACCCCATCCCCCTACCCCCCACCCCCCTCCACCTTTCCCTTCCTTTTCTCTTGTTAGTTCCCTTAACGACCTACGCCTTCGATCTGATTTTTTTTTTTTTTTCTTTTTTTTTTTTTTACCTTTCTATTTTTGTCTGTGAATGGAAACTCAAAAAAAAAAAAGAAAAAAAAAAAGAAGAAGAAGAGAAAATCGGGTACCATAAGATTTCCTTTTCCTTCTCTCTTCCTTCCTATTTCAATTTCTTTCTTTCCTTTTTTTCTTACTTCTACTGTTCCTCAACGTGCATAATGGACGTGCAATTTGCTAACTCCGCTCCCCCCTCCCCCCCACCCCCACCTTTTTCATTGTTCATTTGGCAATCACCATGAAGTTAATGCACCTCATTTGCATAAAGGTGAATGAAGGAGGGTTCAGTTTTGGCTTTGACATGCATACGTTTAATCTTAGTAATGCACAGTTGCAGTTCGTGTTGCCTTTCAATTTCCCTTTGATCAGATCAGCTTTATTCTATCTATCTGCCTTCCTCTTTTTGTATTATTTTTATTTTATTCATTGCGTTTCTGTGAATAATATCTATCGTGTTGCTATAGATATTATATTCCCTTATATAATGTACTTTTATCCTACAATATTACACTGACCAAGTTTGAATATATAGCAATGATTTATTGCGAAGTTGATAATACAATATATCCATTTTTTCCCAGTTATTTACGAATACATACGTTATGATGTTATATTGCCTGAATTTGATTATGATGATAATAATGATGATGATGATGATAATGATAATGATAATGATGATGATGATGATGATAATGATAATGATAATGATAATGATAATGATAATGATAATGATGATGATGATAATGATAATGATAATTATAATGATAATAATAATAATAATAATAATAATAATAATAACAACAAAATGATAATAATAACAATAATAATAAATAATTAGAACAATAATAAAACAATGTTGATAGTAAGAGAAGAAATATTAATAATGATAGGAACAAAAACAGTAACATTAAAAACAATGACTAGGATAATTATCAACAAGTTAAACAAATTTCACAGCAACTTCCTCTTGAAAGTTTTCCAGTAAACAGGAAAGTGTAAAAGAGAACAGGGGTAAAAAAAAAAAAAGGTTCTCGTCTACTTACAGGGTAAAAATGTTCTTTAATTCTCTCTAGTGTCCGTTCATAGGGCACTGCCAAAGGAAATGCTGTTCATTAGGTTTTACTTGAACGTAACGCATTTTTTTTTTTAGGTGTGGGGGGGGGGGAGGTCGCTCTCATGGACGTTTATTTTTATATCGGGCGCGCGATCGTAAACTGGCCAAGATGAACACCAAGCGCAGATTGGTTGTTTCGTTCACGATATGAACCAATTTCACCAGGACCATTGCAGCAACGACCCTCACCGGATGCCCACTTTGCTGTCCGTAACGCAAATGTGCAGTTGTACAGCTTTACGAGATGGACAAAACTACGGCCATGGGTGTAGCTTCATTATCGAAACAATACGTTTACATCATACGCTGCTCGTCTCGCTCGTCTCCTCAGTGCGCATGTGCGGAGTCTGGTAGCGTATGAGCCGTATGTTTATGCCAGGCGATCCCCTTTATTTATACGGTAAACATTACTCTGCTATGTTGCTGTGTGGCGCCAGGGTATGAGAGTCAGGTTGCAGGACAACAATGGAAATGTTGCTTGACATGGAAATGAAAGCTTGTGCAATTTCCATAGCAATGTGAATAACATTACTGTTTTCGGAATTTCAGATTATCAACATATTCATTGTCCATTCCCCGTTCACCTCCCAAAATGGTCTTTGTTTTTGGAATTTATTATTCGTTTAGCCATGTGACTGATATATGTAGCATATAATGATAGGAACTATAATAAAAATAACA